ATATATATTGAAGGGTTAAATGTTGTACTCTGTATAGACAAGCAGAGAGAGAGAGAGAGAGCAGCCGAACTGCCGGATGTAAACAAACCTTAATTTCCCGCGGCTTTTTTTTTTTAAGGGGATTAGCCCACCCGGGCATAGGTCACTGACCCACATTGGGGCCTGAGGGGCAAAAATTTAATACTCCTGTAATAATAATAATAATTCAGATAAGTAAAAAAAAATAAATAAAAAAATAAAATAAACTGCCTGTCTACCTATTGGACAAACTAAAATCGTTCCGGACCACGGGAGTTTCCGGACCACAGAATGCCGGACTAGAGAGGTACAACCTGTATATTTATTTTTTGACTAAAAATGTTGCTTTCTGTCATCTTGTTGCGGTCCTCTGGGTGGGTCTCAGGGGGTCTACGGATTCCAGTTTGGGAACCTCTGCTGTGCTGTACTGTGCTGCACTGTACTGTACTGTACTGTACTGTGCTGTACTGTGCCATTCAGTGCTGCACTGTACTATACTATACTATATACTGTACTGTACTGTACTGTGCTGCACTGTACTGTACTGTACTGTACTGTACTGTACTGTACTGTACTGTACTGTGCTATACTGTACTGTGCTGTACTGTGCCATTCAGTGCTGCACTGTACTATACTATACTGTACTGTACTGTGCTGCACTGTACTGTGTCATTGTGCTGTGCTGCCAGTTCCTTTTTGACAGAGACCATAGCCAGTCCACTCAACCTCTCTTGAGACATATACTGTATACAGTAGTTCTCCTTAGACAGCTTTAGACAAACTTTGCTCCCCTGATGCCATTGTGACTGGAACTGTCAACAAAATCCTATGCTCTATTTCTGCATTAGGGAAGGAACCATTGAGAGATTTTACAAACTGAAGGACCTGAAGTGCATTTTTGGTTTATTTGGGAATGAGTTCTCGGAGAACAGTACTCGAAGCTCTGAAAACGACTTGGCTTCGTCGGTATTGTGAGAATTTCCAACACTCGATGACTTGTCCAAAGCAGAGTTGTGCTCAGCTAGGTACTGCACAGCTGCTATAATATGTGTAAGAACCAATCACCACTGTTCCTTTTCTTTATTCAAGTCTTGTAACATGAGTGTATCTATGGTGTTCATTAAACACAACCTTCTTTTCACTTCCATCCATTTGGTTAAGGTGATCAAATGTTCATCTGATGACTCATGAAATTGTAGTTTTCACTAAAATGCTTCCAATCAGCACAGCTTTCTTGTACTAGTTTATGTCTTACTAACCAGGAGAGCACGAGGCCCCTGGAAGTGCAGGGGTCGACCTGTCACCTTGCAAGAAATAAGTGGTAGTTTTAAGTGTAAATGTACAGTAGCTGAAACAACTACAGTCGGCCCTTAACATGCACGGGGGTTAGGTAACAGAGATACCCGTGAATGTTAAAAATCACTGTACTTTTGCTCCCCCCCCCCTTAAAAACCCCTGGCCCCCATGTCCTTATTTACCGTATATACCTGTATGTAGTTCGAGTTTTTAAGACCAAATTATTTGGCAAAAAATTGGGGGTCGACCTCTAAACGGATAATAGTTTCGTTAGGTTGAAAAATATTTACCAGTAACTCCAGTAAACAATGGAAACGACGCACCAACGCACCACCAGCTGTGAGTGTCGGTACAGTTGCCAGGGCAGATCTCTTGCGTCATCATAGCAAGCCCAAAGTAGCCAAATGCATGGTATGGTAGCACAGGACGATGTAAAACAAAGTATTCATTTTTTAAATATTTATAGATACTGTACATAAATTTTTTTTCATTACATTTGAAACATCAATCTTTGTTCATTAAATTTGAAACAAAAGAAAACTATGATACCGTATTTTCATTAAAATATTACATCACAAGTATATTTTACCTTAACTGTGACTGAATGAATGTATTCTCAGAAATAAATATGGAAATGTAATATATTTTGCTGAAATGACGTACGTATTACAGTGGAAAGTGGGATAAAATTGTGACGAAAGCACTGACTTTCGCTTTCTTTCGTTCAAAAAATGTTACCGTAATCGCTTTTCGAATGGTTTTCAGTTAAAAAACTGTTGTACTGTATTACAATAATATTCTATCCTATCATTAGCCTCATAATCCCACAACTGAAAACCATTTGAAAAGCGATTACGGTAACATTTTTTGAACGAAAGAAAGCGAAAGTCAGTGATTTCGTCAAAATTTTATCCCACTTTCCACTGTAATACGTACGTCATTTCAGCAAAATATATTACATTTCCATATTCTCAGAAATAAATAGTAGTTTTGTTGAAATGTAATGTACAGTACAGTGACCCCTCGGTTAACGAACCCAATCCGTTCCAGAAGGTTGTTCGTTAACCGAAACCATTGTTTCAATGGATTTTGGGTAATTGGTTCCAGCTCACCGAAAATTTCCTAAATTCAACAGAAATGGTAGAAAAGTTTACTTACTTTGAGGTGTGTATGTAGAAGGCTCCTGGATGATGATGATGGGATTTAGAATGGGGGTGGAGGAGAAGGAAGAAGAGAAGTCACCCCTTGGCGCCATTTAACCCATAAAATTTTAGCTCTCTTGGTGTAATTCAAGATTATTTTCTTTAAATCAACACTGCACTGCATTATTTATTGTCAATATGTAAAATATATTTCAAAATGACCAATAATTAGCTTGGAAACACAGAAAAAAAGCATTTAGTTGAAGATAGTCTCAAGCAAGATGTTACTTCCAGTGAAAACAGAGAGAGACTAACGCCTGTTTGCTGTGTTAAGAGGCTGGATGCCGCGCATTAAACTAGTCACTTTACCTTCAATTATGTTCAATAATTGTTAAAATGACTAAAAAATTGAATATTAAACTTTTAAAATTATTGAATAGTATAAACTTCTTGATATTTACTAAAATAGTAAGGAATTTAAGCCCTAGAACCGATTAATGTATTGGCGGACTGATACTAAAGCTGGTTGCCCGGTCAGTGCAAGCGAAAACATGTTGAGGTCGGTTCGTAAGAAATTCGTTAACCGAATTTTTGTTCATTAACCGAATTGAAGATCCTTATGGAAGGCAGTTCGTTAACCGAAATTTCGTTAACCGAGGCGTTCATTAAACGAGGGGTCACTGTATTTAATATAAAAATGCAAAAAGAGCTATAAAAACAATTAATACTGTACACCCGTAATGTACTGGCTGGCATCTCCACTCGTCCCTGCTCCCTCCAGTCACCACTCCTCCCCGCTCTATCCCTCCGCCTCCTCCACATCGTCACTAATGTTGCATTCTATCCTAATTCACTTGAATAAATACTACGATACCATATTTCTGAATATTTTCATTAAAATCCATCAAAATCATTTTCCTTGTCATCGTCTTCAGCACCAAACAGCTCCTCCCAGTCCTCTCCTTGAACAGGGCTAGAGGGTACGTGTTTTTCGAATCGTTTTCAGTTAAAAAAATTTTTACATCACATGTATATTTTACCTAAACTGCGCCTGAATGAATGTAGTATTCTCAGAAATAAATAGTAGTTTTGCTGAAATGTGGTGTATTTCAATGTAAAATAGGATAAAATACATGACGAAAACAAAAGACTTTTCAACCTAACGAAACTATTACTCGTTTAGAGGTCGACCCCCAGTTTTTGCCAAATAATTTGGTCATAAAAACTTGAACTACACACAGGTATATACGATATATATGGACATGGGGGGGGCAAGGTTTTTTAGGGGCAGCAAAAGTACACTGATTTTTAACATTCACGGGTGTGTCTGTTACCTAACCCCCGCGTATGTTAAGGGCCGACTGTACTCAAAATATCGAAACTTCGAGATCTCTCCAGAGCTTCAAAAGGGTGGTATAACTGAAACAAGATTAGGGCAAGAAGGTCATCGTAAATGGCGTCGTACACCCCACTACTGTTCTTGCAATTGGCCCTTACGACCTGGATTTGGGTCCCTAACCCCATCGTAAATCAGGGAGCACCTGTATATGGGAAAAATTTATCAGTTATATTCGTGATTATTGTCTCACATATTTTGCGTTGTTTAATTGTGAAGTTAAAATATATGGGTGTGGGTGACTGCATAAGGCTATTTACAATATTAGGAATGTGGTTAACGAATACGACAGAAAATATCACAGTAAATCAACATACGGCATCCACGTTAATACGGGACTGCCAACCTCTGGCCCCAACGGCATACCAATATTTATCGTCCATGGTCACGTATTGTTTCCCACAGATACTAGTTGTTTTAGCTACTATATAAGTGTAACTAAATGTTTTAAGTCAAACTAGAGTAAAGTAGATGTTCTCCTTTGTCCTCTTAACTCAATAGTCTTCAATATTTGTCTGGTACAATTGGGATGTGCTTCTTCAGCAAGAAGGCCAGGGGGGGGGGGGGTCCACATAAGTCAGACTTTTGGATAAGTTAGACTGATTTAAGCCCCATATAGTGTGACTTAGGGGGGTGTGGGTCATACTGTACTCTATATAATATAAAGTTATGTTTCATTAAACTGTAACAGCAGTTGTTATATGTATACAGCTGCTCCCCGACTTACGACGGGGTTAGGGACCCAAATCCAGGTCGCAAGTCGAAAATGCTTTAATAATACATAAAAAATCTCTTTTTCTTCTCAGCACCACAAACCTCTCACTTTTAAGCTTGCCAGCCATTTTAAAGGGAATTACAAATGAAAATTTTGTTTGTGTACTGACGTTGTGACTCTAAAATACGTAATTTGACAAAATTTTGGTACGACCGAGACAGGTCGTAAGTGCGGGTGGTCGTAAGTCGGGGATGAGCTGTATATATATACTGTATATTATTAACATATACTGTATAGTTTATTTATATCAGTTATTTAGTTAAACCTCCATCTGACAGACCCTTGATATGATGGTCTTTTATCTCTGTACAGTATAGTTTGTTATATGGAGGTTTCTTATCAAATGTCACCCCAGAGCAACCTAACCTAACTTAACCCACAGCAACTGCGCAAGCTGATCCTGGAGATGATCCACCGCCTGCCGAGCAACGAGCAGCTCAAGGTGTACCTGCGGCCGATCCTCTCCCTCATGTTCCGATTGTTGGAGAAAGACAACGAGGAGAATGTGATGGTGTGTCTCAGGATCATTATAGAGCTGCACAAGACCTTCAGACCACAGTTCAGCCCTGAGGTGTGTGTGTGTGTGTGTGTGTGTGGGTGGGTGGGTGGGTGGGTGGGTGGGGATGGTGAGTGTGTGGGTGTGGGTGGGTGGGTGTGGGATGGGTGAGGTGGGTGTGGGTGGGTGGGTGGGTGGGTGGGTGGGTGGGTGGGTGGTGGGTGGGTGTGTGTGTGTGTGTGTGTGTGTGTGTGTGTGTGTGTGTGTGTGTGTGTGTGTGTGTGTGTGTGTGTGTGTGTGTGTGTGTGTGTGTGTGTGTGTGTGTGTGCGTGCGTATGTGTGTCAAGTAAGTGCGTATGCGTGCGTGCGTGCGTGCGTGCGTGCGTGCGTGCGTGCGTGCGTGCGTGCGTGCGTGCGTGCGTGTGTGTGTGTGTGTGAACCCATCCCTTACACCAGGTTAATGTGCCTTGTCATAATATGGTTGTGTTCTCCCTCATAGATCCAGCAGTTTCTTCAGTTTGTCAAGAACATGTACAGAGACTTACCCAACCACATGAACAAGATCTTTGAGCCACGCAGTGTGATACGAGTCAATGACCTTTCTGAGGTGAATGTAGAGGCTCTTCTGCAGGAGACCTTCAGTATAACTCCCATCTACACTGAGAAGAAGTTACAGGATGGCACCTCAATAAATGTAAGTCATGGTTGGAGTCTTATAATAATTAACCTAACCTAACCTAACCTCCCCTCACTTCCTCAGCTTATTTCATGTAATGATTAAATAAATATCAGGTAATAGGTAGTTGGCAGCTATCAAACAGGGAGGTATTAATGCTCGAGAAGATATTATTATTATTATTATTACTACTACTACAGTAGACCCTTGCCATTCGTGAGGGATAGGTTCCAAGAAATGGCGCGAATTGGCAGAATCGCGAGTAGCCACTTATATAATATCTTAGTGCTCTAATATACAGGTCTACCTATACTGTGTGTGAGAAACTTAAGTCACAATACTATACTTACATGTGGAAGTCTGGAGCTTAAGGGAGTGGTGTAGTGTACATAGGGAGACATCTGGTTACTGAAGCATAGGTGGATCATCAGGATCACTGGTGGAAGAGGGTGATGCAGTGGTGGTTGGTGGAGAGGCGGGTGGTGGAGTGGTGCGTGGGCGGGTGGTGGAGTGGTGCGTGGGCGGGTGGTGGAGTGGTGCGTGGGCGGGTGGTGGAGTGGTGCGTGGGCGGGTGGTGGAGTGGTGCGTGGGCGGGTGGTGGAGTGGCGTGTGGCCGGGCGGCAAGTGTTGGGTGGCTGGGAGGAGGAGGGTGGATCGGTGGCGGTAGTAGCTGGTTCTTTCTTGAAAAACACGGCGATTGTTAGTTGTTTCATCTTGACTTTGAGGCCTTTTAACATTTCCTGATAACGAAACAATAATTGGTTGATTCGTCGGACCATCTGAAGGCTGTGTTCCATGGAAGGGTCGTGGTCAACAATGAAATCATTCACCATCTTTACCTGATGAAATAGTTCACCCAAATTGTCCAAGCTCCAACCTTCTTGTTGTAATTCCATAATGTCTTCCTCGGCACTTTTTACCAACTTTTCCAAATCCTCTTCTGTCACATCCTCTCCGTGTCCAACAATCAGCTCTTCCACGTCTTCAGCAGCCATGTCCACAAACCCCTCACCACCCAACTGACGTGCAACACTCACAATGTCATTCACATCCTTTACTATGGATGCGCCAACAACCATTCACTGTCTCTGGTTTGAGTTCATTGCATGCTTCACTGATGTTGGTAATACAGTCCACAATGCTGTACTCCTTCCAACACTTGCTAACATCAAGGTCAGGGTCTGCGTCCATGGCACTACGGATACGACCAAAAGAGTGGCGTGTGTAATATGACTTGAAGGAGGTGCTATTACACCCTGATCGAGAGGCTGGATAAGAGTAGTTATGTTAGGGGGTAGGAACACCACCTCTACACCTGGATGGCTAAACTTTCTGGGTGGCCAGGTGCATTGTCTGTCAATAATAACACCTTGAATTCCATCTTCTGGGAAGCAAGGTATTTTTCCACTTCTGGGACAAAACATTTATGGAACCGGTCCAGGAATGCTTGTACAGTTACCCATGCCTTTTTGTTGGACTGCCTAAACACTGGCAGATGGTTCTTGTATTTACCCTTTAAAGCCTGTTATATTTTTGACGCGACCGCCCCAGTCCCCTTCGTAAATATTCTGGTAAGTTGATAATGTTAAGTTTGTAGATAATCACTCCTGGCTGGTCGTGTACACTCGAGGGTCTAGGGTCTCACGGCAGTTTGTGACTACACTGAGGGTTGTGACTACACTGAGGGTTGTGTGCCACACTGAGGGTTGTGTGCCACACTGAGGGTTGTGACTACACTGAGGGTTGTGTGCCACACCGAGGGTTGTGTGCCACACCGAGGGTTGTGTGCCACACCGAGGGTTGTGTGCCACACTGAGGGTTGTGTGCCACACTCCCCGACTTGTAGGTTCACATTCCCATTTTCAGTTTCAGCACCTCGGCCGGCTGCCTTGGTGTTGATGTGAAGTACGAGGAGGAATACATGACACGTTACGTTTTTACATTATTAGTACTTTAATAATGCTTAACGAAGTAGTTACTTACAGCACCAAACCCACTATACACACAATTATTTACATGAGTGTCGTCGCCTCCGTCGTGATTGGTTCGACGGATTCAGTTTGTTTCACTATTATTGAACCTTATAGAACCATTTTCTTTTAGTGACGAGAGTTAATACTTCTGTGGGATTTTATATTTCCCACAAAGCCCTGGGGTTTGCTGAGCAAGCCAGGCTTGATCATGTGGCCAGTCACATTGCCACAGATGAGCGTCACTGTCCTTGGCTGCCTTGAACCTAGATGCTCACCTCTCCTGCTTGTTTATGTAGGTTCTACCAGACATTTTCTTCCATTATAAACCAGATTCATCAGCATTAAACACTTGCTCTGGTCTATAGCCTTTCTCTTCTATTATGTTCATCATCTTGGCGATAAATACACCTGTGGCTGTGAGGTCAGCTGATGCTGCCTCCCCAGTCAGCTTCACAGTATGGAGAGAGAATCTTTTCTTAAAATTCTTGAACCAACCTTTACTGGCACTAAGAGTTGGTTCACTAGCCCCTTCACCACCTGTTGACTTGAACCAACCTTTACTGGCACTAAGAGTTGGTTCACTAGCCCCTTCACCACCCATTGACTTGAACCAACCTTTACTGGCACTAAGAGTTGGTTCACTAGCCCCTTCACCACCTGTTGACTTGAACCAACCTTTACTGGCACTAAGAGTTGGTTCACTAGCCCCTTCACCACCCATTGACTTGAACCAACCTTTACTGGCACTAAGAGTTGGTTCACTAGCCCCTTCACCACCTGTTGACTTGAACCAACCTTTACTGGCACTAAGAGTTGGTTCACTAGCCCCTTCACCACCTGTTGACTTGAACCAACCTTTACTGGCACTAAGAGTTGGTTCACTAGCCCCTTCACCACCTGTTGACTTGAACCAACCTTTACTGGCACTAAGAGTTGGTTCACTAGCCCCTTCACCACCTGTTGACTTGAACCAACCTTTACTGGCACTAAGAGTTGGTTCACTACTAAGAGTTGGTTCACTAGCCCCTTCACCACCTGTTGACTTGAACCAACCTTTACTGGCACTAAGAGTTGGTTCACTAGCCCCTTCACCACCTGTTGACTTGAACCAACCTTTACTGGCACTAAGAGTTGGTTCACTAGCCCCTTCACCACCTGTTGACTTGAACCAACCTTTACTGGCACTAAGAGTTGGTTCACTAGTTGACTTGAACCAACCTTTACTGGCACTAAGAGTTGGTTCACTATTGACTTGAACCAACCTTTACTGGCACTAAGAGTTGGTTCACTAGCCCCTTCACCACCCATTGACTTGAACCAACCTTTACTGGCACTAAGAGTTGGTTCACTAGCCCCTTCACCACCTGTTGACTTGAACCAACCTTTACTGGCACTAAGAGTTGGTTCACTAGCCCCTTCACCACCTGTTGACTTGAACCAACCTTTACTGGCACTAAGAGTTGGTTCACTAGCCCCTTCACCGCCCATTGACTCGTAAAGATGACCATAAACACTTTCACCCATTTCATGGTTCACGTTGGTGTTGATCGGAACATTTTGCGGTGCCGGTCCTCATGTTCAGTGCTTTCTCTGTTTTCACTATGATCTTGTCTCAAACAACCTGCGTCACTTGCAGGAGCACTCGCTGAACTGAATCAAGAATTGCTTGTTCAGTCTTTTTTATGTACCACACTGGATTCGTTCACACCAAACAGCCGACCAACTGCGGCAGCACTCGTCACTGACTTTTGCCTTTTATGTTTCACTCCACTAGCATCACTAGCACTGACACTAGGCAGTCTTTTAGGGGCCATTTTCACAAAGAAACACTAAAGTTTTGAGAGTAGGACACTGGATGTAGGTCACGGGTACCGGGTGAGGGCACGTGGGGTGACTTGTTGTGCTGAGGGAGAAAGCTCACATGCTAGCCACCCGTGCCACCAGCTGCTTACCACCAATAGTTGAAATCACCAATTGTAAACCTGTGAATGAGAAGGTTCTACAGGTATTATTATTATTATTATTATTATTATTATTATTATTATTATTATTATTATTATTATTATTATTATTATTATTATTATTATTACAGGTTGTACCTCTCTAGTCCGCCATTCTGTGGTCCGGAAACTCCCATGGTCCGGACGATTTTAGTTTGTCCAGTACAGTAGGTAGATAGGCAGCTTTTTTTTTTTTTTTTTTTAACCTGAATTATTATTATTACAGGAGTATTAAATTTTTGCCCCTCAGGCCCCAATGTGGGTCAGTGACCTATGCCCGGGTGGGCTAATCCCCGTAAAAAAAAAAACAACAAAGCCGCGGGAAATTAAGGTTTGTTTACATCCGGCAGTTCGGCTGCTCTCTCTCTCTCTCTGCTTGTCTATACAGAGTACAACATTTAACCCTTCAATATATATGAGCAGTAAATAAGTATTGCTTTCATATTCTTATGTAGAGTAATGACGATATATTTTCACATGTACGCACTTACATACGAGCAGTCTCACTTTTTTTTCTTTACCATTAATGGTTAGCTACTTATATTGTTCCATTTATTAACATTAAATAACATTACTTCAAACAACCATATTAATTTTTTTTTTTACATTAATTTTACTACAGCTACAATCAGGGTCTTATTTTCTTCAGTTTTATATGTAGAACCAATCAGTGACTGGTTTTGTAAGCATTAATGAAAACAATGCCGGCAGCCGTCTCGTCTCCTTGTGTGTTTTAATATTCTATGTATTATTAATGAATTGTATTGCTCATTTTGCACACACAAACATTAATTCAATCAAAAAGACATTCAGTAATAAACAATAATGAATCCTTTGAACATAAGAGAAATGGCGCTGTTTAATAATAATAATAATAATAATAATAATAATGAACGGTTTATTGAAAAAGTTCTGCAGCCCGAAGGCTGAAAATATACATTGGACATAAATGACTTATTACATACATTGGTGGTTTAACAAAAGCCTTCATTAGAGAAAGGTAAAGGAACATACAGTGAACATACAGATTAATGTAGGATTGTAC